AAAGAAACCACACGGTCAAAAAACTGCTCCTTACATTATCAAAAAAATGATACTCAGACACTGGAAGGATTACCTATGAAATTTACCAAGAAGAATAAACACTAAGAAAAGAACATTAACACAGAACCACAAAGAACTCAGAAAGAAAAGGAAATTGCAGAGAAATAATTTGCTACCTAACTTAGAATAATATAATGAATGTATTAACTTTTAAAGATTAAAGAAGTTAAAAATAGGTTTGATAAAAAAGAATTAGTAGAATTTGGTCTAGTTTTATTTCAATTATTTGCTCTTGTTTCCTTTTTAGATGAATTTCCTCAATTATCTTTTTTGTAATTTTTTGTAATTTGCTTTTTTTCCTTGGTAATACTGGTGAAGGCTTATTGGTTAAATATAATTCTTGTTTCAATTCTTGTTGTCGGCTTCTTGTAAATTGCTTGCAAATTATTTCCTTTGCCTTGTAAGGTCAAGAGAATACCTTGTATTTCCTGATTTCTTGACTGTCTCTAATTGCTCCAAGTTTTAGCCAATTGTCTTTTACTTCATCCTTGAGCTACTTCCAAGGCATTTAGATGATGATGTCCAACCTTTTCTTCTTCTTCTTCAACTTTAGTTTCCAACTCTTCAATCAATAACTCTTTCTCTTCCAATTCTTTTTCCAGTCCTTTAATCTTTTATTTTGAACCTACACTCCTTTCCAGAATAAAGTCATATTTTCAATTTGCTTCTACAACTTCTTTTTTCAATTCTCTAATTTCTTTTGTGTGAATTTCTTTAACAAAGAGAATTCTTGCTTTCATCTTTTTCTTCTAATACTTTTATTTTTGTTTCTAATTCTTTTTGTTCCTTTAACTTCTTTGATGCTAAGATAGAGGGATGTCTAACTTAGAAGCATTTTCCTTTAAATCTTTTTCAACTTAATGTAATTGTTCAGTTTGATCAACAAATCTTTTTCCCCAGTCTTTTGATCTTTCTAAATTATTTAATTCTCATTATTCTTGTTTGATATTGTTAATTATTTCTTTTACTTTTTTACTTTTTATTATTGTATTTACTACCATGATATATTATTTTAGTAAAATTTTATATTGGGACAAGTAATATCTTTAAATTCATCCCTTACAAATGGGCAGATATTATTATAAAGGCATTAGTTTTCAATAAATTGAATTCAGTAAAAGTTTCATTGACAGCCTCTTGAGCTTTGACAACACAACTTCAAAAAGAAAATGTTGATATTTCTGGATGCTTGATAGTTTCTTAAAATAAATACCCAATATAGATTTGATATCCAAGTATTGAAAACCTTTTCGATAATGATGATATAATAGCAATTCTTTGTGTGTATGATCAGGATGTTGCATCTTATAACCTTTGAACAGGGATGACATAAAGAACATTCTTAATTTAATTGTATATCTTTGAGAAGTTGTATGCAGTGATAGGTTAGCCATCAAGAATAAGGTTTCTAGCCGAAACTGCTTCTATTAGTAGCCGAAATTGCCCAAATACTTTGGGCAAAAATTTTTTTTTTATAAGCCCAAACTACTTTTTGTTATTAGCCGAAATTGGGCAAAATTATTTTAAAGTTGTTTAAGTTAAAA